ATGACGGTGTGAGTATTGGACAAGGAATATGTTTATATCCAAGGGAAAAAAAAAAAAGAATTTATGAATTATATATGCTATATTATATATATTTATTATATTCAATTAGATAAATATATCTAAATTCACAATTTTATGTATTTTATACAATAAATTCACAAGAAATACTCATATATATATATAGGGTGTATATATTATTCATGTTGCTCCCTGCCTATACACCGCAAATATTCAACAATTTTCTCCTGTTTTTCTTCAAATATTCACCTAATTTAGCACTTATTAATTCTATTTTATTCATAAATTCATTACTTTTATTCCCTAAACTGGCAAAAACACAATGACACACAGCCTAGGGGCTTTCTGCCCCCCTAGACCCACCGACCCGATTTTTTTATCACCACCCTATACCCTAAACCCTAAACCCTAAACACTAAACAATAAACAATAAACAATAAACAATAAACAATAAACAATAAACAATAAATAAAAGGCAGACTTTATTCTTTTTTATTTATTTATTTTTTTAATAATTAATATTCAATAAATAACATAACTAAATAAATCATTCCTTATGGTGGTGGCTTTCCTTAGGGTCACCTTAATTGGCTGGTGGCGACTCCCCACAAACCCTAAACCCCAAACCCTAAACCCTAAACCCTAAACCCTAGGTGGCAGTTCCTGACTCTGTAGTTTATACAAATATTTTAGGCAATAAATATTTTTTGTTTACTTTTTTTATCTGATTGTCTTGGCATTATTTAGGGTTTATCATCTGGTGTTTAGTGTTTAGGGTCTAGGGTCTAGGGTCTAGACTCCCTCCATAGGGCGTACAATACACACCCTAGGGTTTAGGGTTTAGGGTTTAGGGTTTATTCAGTAACTTTGTTCCCCCATATAAACACAGATAAGGGTCTCGCCAGCAGCAGCAACAGCAGCAGCAGCTTATTCATCTATGGTTGCTGCTAGATCTTGTTGCTGCTGCTGCTCTTGCTGTTTGCTGCACTTGCTGCTGGTTTTCCTCCTGTTGCTGCTGATATACCATTGTAACTGTTGCTTCTAGTGTTTCTGCTGCTGCTGCTGCTGCTGCTGCTCTCGTTGCTGCTATTGCTGCTGGTTTTGCTCTTATTTCTGCTTATTTGTTGCTGTAGCTGCTGCTGCTGCTGCTGCTCCTGCTGCTGCCGATAACGTGGCGCTATTGGCTGTCTTATATCTGCTGCTTCTCTCTGCAGCAAGCTGATTGTTGTATAAATAAATTGCATGCATGCATTTTATACAGTGCATGCATGCATGCATGCAGCTGAGGTTGCGCATGCAGCAGCAGCATTTGGGGCTGTCTTTTATCTTAAGGAGCAACAAAAAGAATAAAAGAAAAAACAATTAAATCTCTTCTTTGCTCTTTTCTCTCCCTTGCAACTCTCTACTCTTCTCCTCTGTTCAGCTGCTGCTGCTGCTGCTGCTGTTGCTGCTGCTGCTACATATACGTATTATTATATACTATAATAAGGATATATATACTTAATACAATAGATATAATTATATTTATTTATTTATTTATCTATTTATTATTTATTTACTTAATTTATATTTTATTTGTATTTATTATAGGAACCGCTGAGGGTTTGCAGATGAGTGTTGGGGTTTTGGAGAAGGGTTTAGGGTTTAGGGTTTAGGGTTTAGGGTTTAGAGCTGAACTCAAACCCTTGATATTCGTTTTAAGGGTTTAGAGAAGCGGAGAAGGGTTTAGGGCCGATAGCACCAATGTAGGTTTGGGGAACAGCGATCTAGGGTTTAGGGTTTAGAAGCTATTTAGGGTTTGCAACAGTTAGGGTTTAGGGTTTAGGAATTGCTGAGGGTTTGCATATAAACCCTATAGCTAAGCTAAGATAGGACAAACCCTAGGGTATTGGGTTTTGGGTCCTTAAGGCAGTGTGAGGGTTTAGGGTTTAGGGTTTAGGGCTTAGGGTTTGAGGATCTACGTTACTGAGTGCTGCTCTCGTAGGGTTTAGGGTTTCGATATAGGGTTTAGGGTTTGGTGTTGGAGGGATTAGGGTTTGTTGCATTGAGATCTATTTTTATCCTGGTGTATATTTGTCTCCTTTCTTTTTTATTGCCATTTAATTGTCTCCTTTTATTCCTTTTTATAAACCCTTAAATTAATCAATAAAAAGAAACAATAAACCCTCAGCTAGCTGCAGCCCCTGCTGCATGCATTCATTGCTGCACAGGCAGCAAGGCATCAATTAATACCCTCTAGGGTTTAGGGTTTAGGGTTTAGGGTTTTGCTTTTAGGGTTTGAGTTTTAGGGTTTAGGGTTTAGGGTTTAGGGTTTAGTGTTTCATAGAGAAACACCCTATATATGCATGACCACTGGTTGGTGGGGTTGTTGTGTTGTTCTTTTTTTATTGCCCTTTTATCTATAAGTTATTTATTGTCTTTTTATTCCTTTTGTTCTTTTATAAAAGGGGAAAAGACTAATAAAGGCTAACCCTAAACCCTAAACCCTAAACCCTAAAGCGTATATCTACGGGTTTAGGGTTTAGGGTTACGCCGGTCTCGTTGTACTGCAGCAGAGGGAGCAAAAAGAGTGTCTATTGAATTAGGGTTTAGGGTTTTAAACACTTTTATGAATATTATTAATTATATATTTAATATAAATCTAAAAAATAGCAGCAAATGTTGCAGCAGCAGCAGCAAATGCTGCAGCAGCAGCAGCAGCAGCAGCGAGATGGTCGGCGGGCATCGGCAGCAGCTCACCGATGATGTAAACCCTAAACCCTAAACCCTAAACCCTAAAGCATAAACCCTAAACCTCAATAACTGTTCTAAAATATTAATTGGTGTTTATTCAGCAGCATATTTATTTCTTCTTTGTGTTTTCTCCCCTTCCTGCTGCTGCCGCTGCTGCTGCTGCTGCTGCTGCTGCTCTTTACCCTCTCGATGCTCTGCAGCAGCAGCAAATTGGCATTATTGTCTGCCTTATTATCCAATTAATTCTTTCTTCCCTTTTTAACTTTATTTTGTCTCTTTAAATAAAAAAGGAGGAAAGATCAACAACAATCCTCTACTTCCCTTAGGGTTTAGGGTTTAGTGTTTAGGGTTTAGGGTTTAGGGTTTGAGGCAAGCATACAGACCTCATCTTTAACGACAACACTCTGAATCCTTCCGTGACAACAAACGGGCTCCTCCCGCCTTCTCTTCTATTTGCTGCTGCTGCTGCAGCAGCAACAACAGCAGCAGCAACAACAGCAGCAGGAGCAGCAGCGTCAGCAGCAACAGAAGTAGCATACGCGGCGGCAGCATCAGCAGCCGTTGAAACGGCAGCAGCAGCAACAGTAATTGAAGGAGCAGCAGCAGCAGGAGCAGCAGCAGGAGTGTCAGCATCCGTTGCAGCATTTGCTGCAGCGTTTGCTGCTGCAGCAATTGCTGCAGCAGCACTCGCTTGTGGCAGCAGCATTAGCAGCAGGAGTAGTTAGAAGGGTTTAGGGTTTCTTCTTCTCTTCTTTTATCTCCCTTTTATTTTCCCCTTCGCATGTTGCACTCTCCGCCAACTTGCCCCCGCTGTTTAGGGTTTAGGGTTTAGGGTTTAGGGTTTAGCTCCAGTCCTCCATCTTCAATCTTCACTCCTCAATCTTCATCCGTCAACCCCTACAATCATTAGTGTTTACGATTTAGGGTTTATGGTTTATTAAGGATAATTGTGATTTATTAGGGTTTATTAGGGTTTATTAGGGTTTATTAGGGTTTATTAGGGTTTAGGGTTTAGAAATAGGATGGCGGGTTTATTATTGAATATAGCAGCCCGTGGTGCGGGTCTAGGGGCGAGTGCATTTTCTTCTGCATTTTCTTCTCTTTTCTCCAGCATCTCTGGCAATTGTTTTAATTCAATTAAGGATGCATGTATTTGTCCTCATCCTACTGAATGTGGATGTATCGGTAAACCCTAAACCCTAAACCCTAAACCCTAAACCCTAATTTACCCTAATTTACCCTAATTAACAATAAACACTAATTCTTAAATATTAATTGTTTAAATTAAATTAAAGATGCATGCGTGTTCTATAACTATTTCCTATGTTTAATAGGTTTAATTAGGGTTAATTAGGGTTAATTAGGGTTTAGGGTTTAGGGTTTAGGGTTTAGGGTTTGTGTATATATATTTATATAGGTGCAATAGGATATTTTCTTGGTTGTCAAGATCATCGTAAATTTAATTTAATTATAGATATTCATGAACTAGATCGTCTACAAAAAGGGTCTACTGTTTATCTACAAATTAATGTAGGAAGGATACAAGTACTTACTAAAGGTAAACCCTAAACCCTAAACCCTAGTAAACCCTAGTAAACCCTAGTAAACCCTTGTAAACCCTTGTAAACCCTTGTAAACCCTTGTAAACAATAATTAACAATAATTAACACTAATTATAATTAATTAACACTAATAAACCCTAATTAAGGATGTAGCTACTCACCGCAGACGGGGATCGAATGGCCCCCCTATATTATAAACCCTAGGGTTTAGGGTTTAGGGTTTAGGGTTGAGATATATATGTGTATATGTATGTGTATATAGATTTAGAGATAAAAGGTAGTAGTATATCTGTAGAGGAACGTCTATTTATAAAAGTAAGACAAATAGATAAAGAAATAAATATACAATTAATAAAAAAAGGAGTACTAAAGACAGAAATAATTGCTATTTATAAAATTAGGGTTAAACAAGATCTAATTGATAGAAAATTCCCTAAAAGACAATGGTATGCATACAAAACCCTAAACCCTAAACCCTAAACCCTAAACCCTAATTTACCATAAACCCTAAACCCTTAAACTCATGAAGTTTAGTTGTAAACCCTTAACCCGGATGTCTTAACCCTAATCGGTTAAACCTGAACTCCAAACACTAAACCCTTGCTTGGTTCCTGCTGCTGCTGCTGCTGCTGTTGCTGCTGCTGCTGCTGCTGCTGTTGCTGCTGCTGCTGCTGCTGCAGGTATACAATGTCTGCTGTTAAAGGTGCTAGTAATGTAAAGGTTCTTCTCTCCTTCCATTACAGTACGTTAAACACCCTGAGCAGCAGCAGCAGCAGCAGCAGCAGCAACAGCAGCAGCAGCAGCAGCAGCAGAAGCAGCAGAAAGAAGACATGCAACAAGAGCAGATGTTATGCCTTTATCTGTTGCTGCTGCTGCAGCGTGTAGTTTCTGTACACGGTGTATGCATACGGCTTCTGCTGCTGCTGCTGCTGCTGCTGCTGCTGTGCTCAGTGGATCCTTCGCTGCCTGCAGCACAATCCCCGCTGCTGCAGCAAGCTATCTTGTTGGCGCAGCAAGAAGCAGAAGCAAAGAAGGAGCCTTTGAACTTGGTAACACTCATAAGCCAGCAACAAGGGTTTAGGGTTTAGGGTTTAGGGTTTACATTTCTTCCACCTTTCAGATGAAGTTTAGGGTTTAGGGTTTAGGGTTTAGGGTTTACATCTTCCACCTTCCAGATGAAGTGTTTAGTGTTTATTATGTTCTACAACACCTAACCCTAATTATCCACTATATAATATATATTGTACATTATATATTAAACAAGGGTTTAGGGTTTAGGGTTTAGGGTTTAGGGTTTGTATATAGGACTTAGGGTCAATGGG